AAAATTTCTTCTTTCGCTAAGTTGCCGTTAACAAAAGCGAACAAAGAAATGATAGACTGTAAACTCCTCGATTTATTCACTGAAAGTTTTCAGCCATTCCACTTGGTAGAGGAAGAGCCGTTTAAAAAATTTGTCAAGTCTTTAAATCCCAACTACGAATTACCCAACAGGTATCTCATTTCTCGCACGCTGCTACCAGCTTTATATGAAAAATGCAGAATTTCTGTACAAAAGTGAATGGCTAAAATACAAAAAGTTTGCTTGACGACAGACTGCTGGACGTCTTGCAACAACGATAGCTACATGGCTGTTACTGCGCGCTACATAAATGAAAATTTTAAAATGGTCTCGACACCTCTAGGATGCCCGCAAATGTTGGCAAGTCACACTTCCGAAAATTTGGCCACTGAGCTTAAACAAATTGTAACAAGTTGGGGCATCGAAAAAAAAGTAATCCTTACGGTTTCTGACAACGCAGCCAATATAAAATCAGCAGTTGAAAACAATTTGAAATGGAAACATTTGGGATGCATGGCACATACGCTAAATTTGAAAGTCAAAGACGGATTTAAATGTAGCGATGAAATTAATTTAGTCATCCCCAAAACCAAAACAATTGTCGGCTTTTTCAAACGAAGTTCAACTGCCAATTTAAAACTAATCGAGTATCAACGAAACCAGGGTACGTCTCAGCCACTTAAGCTTCTGCAAGATACTCCAACACGTTGGAATAGCACGTTTTACATGTTAGAACGCTTTCTGCAGCTTGAGTAGGCTATAAAAACAACAATTGCTTTAAGCAATGCTGATCTACCTTTGTTAAGCTTTAAGCATATAGTAAGAAACTAGCCAAACATTGGCTGCCAACACATTTTGCGATCCCCGATTTAAGTTAGTTCCATTTCATGAGCCTGAAAGGGATTGGGTGAAAAAAGCATAATTGCAGCCCTTTCAGAAAAAACTGGACAACAGCACGACATAAACAACAATCAAGAGACTGGCGATAATGCGGATGAGTTTTCTGTGTGGTTTGAGCACGACAAAAAAGCAGCAAACGTTGTGCCACAAGGAACACCTACGTCAAAAGCTATTATAGAGGTGCATAGATATCTGGAAGTAGGGATAATTTCTAGAAAATCAAATCCTCTTCAAATCCTTTTCAAAATACTCATCTATACAATAAATGTTTATATAACTTATATTTACATTTTCAGCAACAAAGAAACTTGTCAGTTTTTATTTAAAAATGTAATAATATGAAACTAATATACATTTAAAGTTTTACGAATTGCATTTTAATAACAGTATTATAAAATTATGGAGTGCTTATTACGTTGGTCTTCGGCTTTTTTAATGGATGTATCAAGCTGTACCATCGAAAATTCACATAATTCTAAAATAGTGATTCGAATCACCGATTAAAGTCACTGTTTTCAGGAAATCACAGTAACAGTTTTCACAGTGATTGTAAAATCACCGTTTTGCTCATCTCTAATATTTACTTACCTGAGTGTATTTATTTTATATGGAATAACATCTTAGCGGACAGTTGTAGACGGCGATGGAAGACTCTTCGGGACACATACAAAAAAATAAAGCGCGGAAATGGGCTAGCCTCCGGCAGTGGCGCACTAGTACCCAGTAAAAAATAGAAGCTCCAAGAGACTTTATCCTTTTTGGATGATTGCAAAGATTCGAGGGCGTAAGTTTGCATAAGTAAGAATAGGTCCCGTTGTGCTATAAAAAAAAAATATATATATAAAGTGGGTGTGGTTCGCCCTGTCCCACTGATTCTAAAAGTAACAAGTAAGAAAGTCTAAGTTCGGGCGGAGCCGAACATTAAATACCCAGCGCAAATATTAAATATACATATGTTTTTCACCTTTCCGAAAGCTACCGCTACATGGTAAGCCGGGGTGTATAAATTTTGAGTAAATTAGCGTTCTTAAACTTCGAAATATTGGAGTTTCAAACATTTCTGAAATTTACCGTTATATGAAAAGCGGCCGTAATTTTAGTCCGATTTCAATAATTTTCAACGTTTTGCTTTTATGTGCCAAGCAGAATAAAAATACCGAGTTTGGTATAAATTGGTAGAACGGTTACCGAGATACATATATGTGATCATAAGTGGGCGGTGCCACGCCCATTTCCCAAAATTTTATCATAAACGTATTTCTTGGTAAAGGATTGTTGCATGCATCAATTTTGAATAAATTAGCTTTAATATTTACTGATTTATCGAAGATTTCGTATTTCTCTAAATTACCCGTATATGGAATGTGGGCGTGGTTATTGTCCGATTCTAAAAATTTGCCATTTGGTATGCTGTACCAAGGCCAACAACTGTGCCAAGTTTGGATGAAATCGGTGCAGCGGTTGCCAAGATATACACATGTAACCATAAGTGGGCGTGGCTACGCCCATTTTTCATAAGTTTATAACATTCTTATTTTTTGTCTAAAAATTATTGTAAATATCAATTTTGAGTGAATAATCTTCAGTAGTTACTAAAATATCGCAGTTTTCGTATTTCTGAAAATTACCGTTATATGGGATGTAGGCGTGGTTATTGTCCGATTTTGCCCATTTTCAATACCATCCATCGTACGCCCGAAAGAAGTCCACGTACCAAGCTTCGTTAAGATATCTTAATTTTGACTCGAGTTATCGTGTGCACAGACAGACGGACGGACGGACAGACAGTCACCGCTTAATCGATTTCTCTCTTCATTCTGATCATTTATGTATACATTTGTCTATATCTATCTCGATTCGTTTTGCCTGTAACAAACAACCGTTATGTGAACAAAGTTATAATACCCTTGTGCACAAGTGCGCTCGGGTATAAAAAAAAAGATATGGTGAAATTTAATAGGTGATGTGTAAGAGGGGTAAAGTGAAATTTTCTAAATTTTTAAGAGCTTATATCATGATACTAAAAGAAGGTAGTTTCATTTCAAAATTTTTGACAAAAAAAAGAAGTTTTTGAAGTTTCATAAATTGCAAAAAAATTATGAGGTACCTTGATTTTTTTTTATAGCACACCGGACCTATTCTTTACTTGATCCTGTAAGGTAATAGACCATTTGATATGCTTATGAGCCTAATTCTTTTATCAAAGTTACTTATTTCGCTTTTTCTTTATTAAGGACTGTCGGAAGCGTTGAAATACTAGAATTAGAAGAATTGTCAACAAGTTTCTTGGAAGGTATGGAGAATCTATTGCCAGCAAATTCCACCATGGTGGAAGACTTCGATACTCAACCTTCATGTTCTTCGGAACGTTCAAGCGGAAGGGCAACTAAGCGACGCGCCGATGCTGAACTGAAGGATACTTTTGCTAAAGCAATGGAGGAATGCGTTGCCTCAGTATCTGACCTTGCCAAAGTGCCACAAAAAAATGCAACGTTCTCGCCTTTTGAATCTTTTGCTCATAAAATAATAGATGCAAACTTATCCCAAGCCGATGTTAATATGAAATGTTACAAATGAACTAATAATATTCAAATTCACATCTGCACTTATAAAAAAGTCGGGAAAATTCTTAATTTCATGTTTAAAAATTGTTTGTATAACTACAACACATTTTCAGCGAAATTGAAAAGTAATACAATAAATTAGATTTATTTAAAATACACCAAGTAATAAATTTGAAATTTTGCAGAAAATGTGTTGTATATCAACAATTTTTAGACAAAAAACTAAGACTGCTTTTACACAGTTCAAGTATTGAATTCAATTCTGCTCGCATATGGAAGAGAGGGGGTGAGAAAAAAAGGGACGAGTACACATGCGTCTGTACCGTCAAGTCGTTTCAACTTTCTTGCTTTGCTTTGGCATTTTCGTTGCTTCCCATTTAAAGAACCAAAAACTTGAATTCAACAGAATTGAAACGTGTAAAAGAAAATAGAAAACACAAAAGAGAATGAGCAAGAATTGCTTTCAAGTATGTGAATCATGTAAATCGGGTGTAACGGCCCTATTCATAGAAAATAAAATAGATTTAAAGAGCTCTATAAAGTGATTTTCATAGAAATGTTCTATTTATAAAGCAGTTAAAGTCTTCTTTATTTTTTATGAGAGTTATAAGTGCAGATGTCAATTTAATACCAAATATTATACTTAATTCTTTTGTAAGATTTTGCTAATTTTGAAGTTCCTATTTATCAGTGTTTTTAATATCAACATATGAAATGTAGTTTAGTTTAATTATAACATTTCGCCAATTTTGAGGTTCCTATTTATTTGTCCAGCAGTATTTAATACAAAAATATTAAATATCATTTTCAGTTAATTTTTATTCATTTTATTTTTTATGTTTTATATAATGAATATATAAGTATATATAAGTATAGAATGAATTATATTTTCATAAATAAGTAGAGAAAGAAATGTTGCACGAAAATAATTGTGAATTTTGTATTACAACAAGATTTACACTTACATTTGACACCGTTGTGTATATGTAGTTATTGCCTTATTTATAAAAATTAGTAAATTTTGATGCACCGGCCGTGACAAAACGATAATGATAATGGTCATTAATTTTCTATAAATATTTTTTTGTTGACCGTATTATGCACTTTCTTCCATGTGATACGGTCAAAATAAAAATTATCTCAAAATCAACGCGATTTTTTTTAACCTAAAACTTTCATTTCATTATACTAAAATTTAATAAGGTATGAAATTGCATACCAAAAATTTTTGTAGAAATTCTAATTAAAATGCCTGCACAATTGCACTCCAATGAGTGTATGGCTTGTGGAATTTTTATAACTTTTTCACATAGATTAAAATTTGGATTTATATGGTATTTGTTAAATAAACAGCTGTACTTTCATAGAAAATAAATGACTAGACTGCGGATGTTTATGCAGAAAACGAAGCCTAATCACAAATTTAACCACAAATATAACCAGCAATATATATAAATTTGCATACATTTTGTTTGTAGTTATGTACCACTTAACTATAAGCAAAATATATAAGTTTGCATACATTTCGATTGTAGTATTTTTAGGCTGCGTTTTCTTCATAAACATCCGCATTCTAGTAATGAGCATTAAACAAACCACAAATAGTGAAAACTGACCGAAATGTTGAGGTGCTATCATTTTGTCGCGGGCTGTAATTGCATATTTATTTGTCCAGAAGTTGATGAATATGTAATAAATTGAATTTGAAGTTAAACTAAATTTTAAAGCAAATAGAAAAGAAATAAAATTGAATTTTAATAAAATTTATAGTACAGTGGTAAAAGTTCCAACACTGAAGACACGTTTAGCAACAAATCAGATGCGGCGTCCTGTTTAAATTAAATATATTAAGTATTATCGAACTTTAATAAAGGGTGAATAGTTAATCTTACCTCAATTATTAAACAGTATATCGGACAGTGTGTCGCTACTCCTAAATGCATCTGCACATGACCGATTCGCTTGTGCGATTCTGCAGGAAAGCAGCCAAGCGTGGGATTCCCTCCAAGTTCCTGGCACCTGAACACCATTTTCGACGAGCTCGTCATTTAAATATCCACTCTCCCTATCGAGCATTAGATAATTATGCAGTACAATTGTCGCTAACACAATTTTATCCAGATTGTTTGGTGCTGCGTGAATATTCGTGTGTAGAACTCTGCACCTGCTAGCCAAAATTCCAAATGAATTTTCAATATGCACACGAGCACGAGATAATTTTTTGTTGAAGTTGTCCTTTATAGCTGATAAGTTCCGGCCAGGATATGGACGCATCAAGTTGTGCTTCGGTGGGAATGCATTATCTCCCACGAAATAGTATTGGAAAGTTGTTTCTGTTCCTAAAACATTGAAAAATATAATTAACAACAATATACAAATATATGTACATATGTATATGTTTACGAAAAATTATAATTGCCTGGAATTGCGTTATCTGGTGGAATATTAAGGTGTCCTCTTAAAATCATTTTTCCAAATGCACTACGTGAAAAAATTCCACCGTCACTCTTGCTTCCCATCGCACCCACGTCCACAAAAGTAAACGTGTAGTTGGAATCGCAGGCTGCCATTAGAACGATACTATACGTTTTTTTATAATTGTAAAACAACGATCCGCTGCGTGCCGGACAAACTATTTTTATATGCTTGCCATCGACCGCTCCAACATAATTTGGCATTCCCGTTTTCAAGTAAAACTTTTACGAAGACAAAACATTCAATTTCAACACGGAAACCTAGATGGTCACTACAAACCTGTCTGATATTTTTTTCCATTCATGCTCAAGGCATTGCAAGTATCGTAAATTATCTCCCTTACTTTCGATACCCCGATTTTGTGCGACCAGGCGAGATATTGTGGGCTGCATCCTTTCGATAAGTAGCTAAAATGAGAAATATTGTTATTGAACCATTTCGTTGCATTTGTGACTAAAATTTATTACATCAGTGTCAGTGCCAAGCGAGTTTCTTCATTTATTGGCGCTCTTCTCGAAAAACGCGCGAGTCTTTCTTTTATCAAAGTCAAAAGAGTCTGGAACTTGGGAACACTCATCCTAGTGGCTTTGAAAAAGTTCTCCTCGTCCTCCAGCTTCAGTTGTTGAAAACATGTTCCATGGAACCCAAACTCATTCCTGGTGAGGTTCGCAGGCCGCACCCACCACCTCCTTTTCAACCGCTTGCTCGCCTCCATGTACATCTCGTACATTGTGCTCAATTTGTACATAATTTTAATTATCCGCAACAGTCTTTGAATATTGGACATTTTTGCACGTACACACAAACGAAATGCAAACGAAAAGTTTACTACAAAATTGGTTTTATTGTTAAACCACAACATGTCAACTAAAAACCGTTCCGTCGCAATTGTGTTTACCCGTCCGAATTTTCCCGCCTGGAATGGATCAGCTATTCGCCACCCGTCAGCCCGTTACCCACTATCCGCTCAGTCTCATTCATTGAATCGTTTTTATGCAACCCTGCAAAAAATTGTGCGACTAATCTCTAAAGCGAGTATTCCGAGATTACTCTCAATCGGGTACAATTGGGCATTAATTAGTCCCAACTAGTCTCATACGGGTACTATTGGAGGTCAATTAGTCTCGACTCATCCCCTATGGGTATAATTGGAGATCAATTAGTCCCCAACTCATCTCTAACGGGTACTATTAACGATTTAATGATATGTACGCACTTAGTCAATGAAATTTCATGTGCGGCGTTGGCACACAGAGAGAGTATTCGCCTAACAAAACTGAGCATCCCGGTTCGAATCTCAGCTGGTGCAAATTTTTATTTTTATTTTTTAAAAGTGATTAGTCGCTTTTCATACCCGTTCGGGTATAAAGGTGAACAATTAGTCTCTTCATAGGACATGCTCGAACAAAAGCGATCAGTTCATTCCATATAAAGAGATCAAAAGTGGTATTAGTCGCATGCATGGTCGGCATACTAGCGCATTCCAACGATTCAATAAGTGGGACTGTGTGCATTGCTTAGCTGGCGCTCTTCGTATGTGAAACACACATGTGCTCAGAGAGCGCTGAGCATTATTCAGGGGTGGCTCACATGCCCCTGCAAAAAATGGGACTAATCCGGGATGACTCCGGGAGCAATCGCAAAGGAGCATGCGACTAATACCACTTTTGATCTCTTTATATGGAATGAACTGTTCGCTTTTGTTTGAGCATGTCCTATGAAGAGACTAATTGTTCACCTTTATACCCGAACGGGTATAAAAAGCGACTAGTCACTTTTAAAAAATAAAAATAAAAATTTGCGCCAGCTGCTCGGGGGTGCTCAGTTTTGTTAGGCGAATACTCTCTCTGCGTGCCAACGCCGCACATGAAATTGCATTGACTAAGTGCGTACATATCATTAAATCGTTAATAGTACCCGTTAGAGATGAGTTGGGGACTAATTGATCCCCAATTATACCCATAAGAGATGAGTCGAGAGTAATTGATCTCCATTAGTACCCGTATGAGACTAGTTGCGTCTAATTAATGCCCTATTGTACCCGATTGAGAGTAATCTCGGAATACTCTCGTTAGAGATTAGTCGCACAATTTTTTGCAGGGGGATGAATATAGCTCTGATCCAGTACTCCATGAACTTACAGGATTTTACACGAACTTGCAGGAAGTTGCAGGAAAAATGTTCCCGTACTCCAAAATCCTGTAAATGAGAGCGCCCTCAAACCAAATCGTGGTTGCCTCAACTAAGATTGGGTAACTATGACTAAACCATGTGTTGAAGCTTATCTGTATTAGCAGAGCTTAGTGACATCCTTTTATGAACCATCCGTTAAGTTGAATGGAATTTGTAGAAATATGCTTCAAAAAGATATTTATTAGTATTTACCAAACCCTTAAACTAAATTAACGATTTGGTACAACCTAGATGAATATTAGAAGCTTTAATATATTTAGTTATAATTACCAACCCATGGTAATAGTTCCCAATCCTTGGTCACAGTTCCCAAATATTGTCAAAATTCGGGAACCAAATATCTTTAGTTGTCGAAACTAATCCTTTTTCTCAGTGTATAAAATTTACAGAAACACGAAAACTGTGATAAGTCAGTAACTACTGAAGCTAATTGACTCAAAATCGGTTATTGCAATAACTACTGAGTAGAAAATTAGATTATTATAAATTTTTGGATTTTGGACGTGGCCCTTTTATGACCACAAATGTGTATGCCGGTAACCGATTTATCAATTTCTACCAAACTCACTCTCCACAACTCTTGTACGAACATTTTTTTGTGCGACGCAGAGTTCCGCATAAGTGGGCAAAAATCTAAAAATTCTTTGTCTGCAATGTGAACGTGTTTGGTATTTTTGTAAAGGTTATTTATCCACTTAAAAGAATTAAATAGCAGTTTCTCCATAAAATATATTATGTCCCGCCAGGAAGCCGCTAAAGCCGACAAATTTTATACTAACAATTTTAATAAGAGCATAGCCATGCCTACGCTCTTCACGGAAACAAATGTCAAAAATACATTCTATGAAATAAAATATTGGTTTGACGTTTTTTTATTTCCATATATATAGCTGAGGACTACGGGAATAAAAATTTTGGAATAAAATTAAACACAGGGTGTCCATGTGGTATTCCAGAAAAATAATTTTTTTAAAGAAAATTTCAAAAAAGACTCAATTTTAATGGAATGAATAAAAAATGTGTGTAAAAATATTTTATTTTTAATTATTTTATTAAATAGTATGGGTTTTGGCTTTCGAAAGAACAAATAAAAACCTGCCCATTTTTTACACTTTTTGAAGTAATGCGTTTTTTGCTAATGCATAAATTTTTTTCGTTTTTGTCAGTGCAATCAGATCTGCGCGATTCGGTATATTTTCAAAAATTAAATGTCAGATTAAAAAGCTTGACCCGTAGACAATAGAGGTTTATTTTTTGCTTAAAGAGTTGCCACCTGTTAAAAAATTGAATTCAATTTTTTTATTAAGTTAAATGAAATATTAAGGATGATTATCAATCGTAATACGTATTAAAAGGGTTCCTATCTTAACTACATGTAGAGGGTTGCCACCTGTAAAAAAATCAAATTCCATTTGACTAAAAGGAATTAGGTAATTTATTTATTTATTTCGGTCAATGAAAAAAAAATTCTTACTGACTATGCTATCTAAAAATGTAACAAGATATAACTTATAGCTAACACAAAGGTGACATTATAAAATTAGAGAAGTTTTAAGATTAATATCCTCGATAGGATTGAGTTTATTAATCTCTCTAAGGGCACGACAAATCGGTGCGTTCATAGCATACATTGACTTGGAGGAATGCAAATAAAAAGGTCCATGTGCCGCAAATTTCTTCGCGGAACATTGAGAGGAATTCTCCGTAGGATATCAGGGCAATCGACAATCCCAGTAACCACGTTAAATATAAAACTAGCAAGATAATAGAGAAAGTTTTCCTATCCTCAAGAGAGTTTTAATTTATAAGCAAACAGCGTGAATAGTATGAAGGTAAAGGTTCAGTAAAATTTAGAGATCTTAATGCAAACCTAATAAAAGTCTTTTGCACACGTTCAATTCTGTTTATGAGCCCAATATGAAAAGGTCGCCAAATATTGGCAGCATACACAAGGCGAGACCTTACAAAAGCTATGTATAGGGTTTTCAAAGTAAATGGATCTGAAAAGTCAGAACTATTACGGCAAACAAAGGCTAACAATGAATAGGAGTTAGATATAATGAAATCTATATGGCTATTAAAAGTCAACTTCGAGTCGAAGTAAATTCCCAAATCTTTGGTCTGGACTACTGATTTAAGAAGACAACCAGATATAGTATAAATATGAGGTATTAATTGTATTTAGCTTTCTGGAATAAACCATGTGATAACACTTATTAATATTCTCACTAAGACAGTTTCTTTCACCCTGTTAAGATCAGATTGAAGGCATCTTCAGCATTTTTTATAACAGAATAAACTTTGAGATCATCTGCATACATTAGATTTTTCGAGAATACGAAACAGGAACTCATATCATTAATGAAAATGATAAACAGAAGGGGGCCAAGAATACTACCTTGGGGGACTCCAGAGCTGGCATGGAAGCAACGGGAAAACGTATTTTCCAGTGCTACAGCGCAGTGCCTATTGTATAAATAAGAGCTAATCCAATCAAGAAACTTTGACTGGAAACCCAGACAAGCTAGTTCAGCGATCAAAATTTTATGTGAGACCTTGTCAAATGCCTTGGAAAAGTCGGTATATACAGTATAGACTTCGTACCCAGACTCGAAACTCGCAAGGCAATCTTCGGTAAAGATAGTGAGATTTGATACGGTAGATCTTCCTTTGACAAAACCGTTCTAGTTCGGGCAAATAACATTATGGAGAGCGTGCCACATTTTGTCCTTAACAATACTTTCAAAAACTTTGGAAACTGTTGTTAATTTAGCTATTGGTCTATAATTCGAGACATCATTTTTGTCATGATAAAAACATAACAAGGTAAAACCATTGAGAGGCAGTCTGACGTTTGCCAACAATATAGTTTTAAAATCAAAACTCAAACTCACACACACATTCTCATTTTCAATCTCAAACAACAACAATTGTGAACAATTTAATTTTTTTATTTTCAATTTTATATGATTTTAAAATGTTGGCAAACGTCGGAAAAAAATCATGGCCGACGAATTGAGAGAATGAATTTACCTTGTAATGTTTTTATCATTATTTTTGTTTCCACTTTTGAGAATCGGAGTAATCGATGTTTTTTTTCCAATCACTAATGAATGTTCCCGAAGAGATGGATAAGTCAACAAGTAAGAAAGTCTAAGTTCGGGTGGAGCCGAACATTAAATACCCGGCGCAAGTAATAAATATATGTTTTTTCACCTTTCCGAAAGCTACCGCTACATGGTAAGCCGGGGTGTATAAATTTTGAGTAAATTAGCGTTCTTAAACTTCGAAATATTTGAGTTTCAAACATTTCTGAAATTTACCGTTATATGAAAAGCGGCCGTAATTTTAGTCCGATTTCAATAATTTTCAACGTTTTGCTTTTATGTGCCAAGCAGAATAAAAATACCGAGTTTGGTACAAATGATAGAACGGTTACCGATATACATATATGTGATCATAAGTGGGCGGCGCCACGCCCATTTTCCAAAATTTTACCATAAACGTATTTCTTGGTAAAGAATTGTTGCAAGCATCAATTTTGAATAAATTAGCTTTAATATTTACTGATTTATCGAAGATTTTGTATGTCTCTAAATTACCGTTAAATGGGATGTGGGCGTGGTTATTGTCCGATTTTTTAAATTTTCGGCCGTTTAGTATGTTGTATCAAGGCCAACAACTGTGCCAAGTTTGGAAGAAATTGGTGCAGCGGTTACCAAGATATACACATGTAACCATAAGTGGGCGTGGCTACGCCCATTTTCCAAAAATTTATAATATTCTTATTTATCGTCTGAAAATTATTACAAATATCAGTTTTGATTGAATTATCTT